CGGCTGCCCCTTTCCCTTCTCGGGCACCCTCATTGTTTTTGGGCGTCCACCCCCGTCCTCCGCTCCTTTCTTTCCCCCGCCGCGCCCCAGAGCCGTGGCCGCTGAGCGTTGTGGGCCCGTTCTGAAGCAGTGGGGTTGGACCTTCGTCTGTTTAACGGCTTTTTTTTCATTTCCCCCCTCCTTCTCCACGCACACCTCGGCGGCGCTGGGGAGGATGCCGCCGGCCGGTGTTAGGGCTGCTCGGCGCCGCAGGGCTGCCTGCTGTGGCTGCGCGCCGCTCGGGAGGACGCGCAGCAGCCTTCGTGTAGTTCAGGAGCTGCGCTTTGGGTGTGCGGAGAGCTGTAGCATTGTCTGTCCCCGGGGTGATCGTGTGGGAGCCCCGGTGCCGTCGGTGTCACCATCTCTGGCTGCGAGGTCGTGGGCTTGATCTGCGGTTGAACCGGGCTTGGCCTATCTGTGAGACTGGGACAATCACTGCTGAAGCCTAAAGACCTTTTGCTGTAAAACCTGATTTTTCTGCTTTAACTTCATTTGCCTGCATGATGATAAAAAATTCATCATTTACATTTGCTTGTTGGGCCAGTAAAGAGATCAGACAAGTTAACTGAATACAGCTAAGTATATTTCAAAACCCCAATGTGCAGTTGTCCTGAATATTGATGCAAAGATGCTTTGCATGTGTAGAATTTTCATAGAAGGCAAGGTTGCACCTCACATCTACCACACTTACTAAAAGCTGCCTGTATTCAGCAGCATTGCAGAGTAAATGCAAGTGTTTAATGAACTGGCATTTCAGACATCACCGATGTTCGCTGTGTTCATATCCACTGTATCTGTCTGTGCGTTTTGTTTCGACATATGTACGTATAATTATGTACCTGATTTGTAGGCTTGTATGTTCAACTACATGGAAGTTTTAAATTAATTTTTTTCTTTATAGGACTGTGAAATTAGAATAATTTGTTCCAGTATGTGCTATAAATCCTCATTTCCCCTTTTTTCTCTTCAGCCAAAAAGGTGTGATTTAAACCCTTTCGTAGTGAAGTTGATTTTTTAATAGGTCTTAAGAAGTGGAGTTGGAAAGGCCTGGGAATGTTGTGATGGGTGAAGACCACATTATCATCTCAAAGTGTGTTGTTTTTAGAGATAATCTTTACAATTTGAAATATGAACAGCCATTTTATTGAGAAATTGAGATTAAGTGACTACTTGAATGGTTTGTGATGCTTTTTTTCCACCAGAAGTGGTTGGTCTCGTTTGTTACATCATGACTAGTTGCTGTGGATGCAGTTGTTATCACGGAGGATTATGACTTCAAGTGTAGCGTAAGCTGCAGAAAAATAGTAATTTTTAAAGAAGGCATATTAGTAATGGAAATGTTCCTGAGGCCAAAAGAGAAATGTGGAAATAATCCTGGTGTTAATTTTAAACATCATTGTCTTTTTAGAATGTTCTTTAAGATGCTCCTTAGAGGTTAAGGAAGAGGCAAGTTGTGAGACCGCAAGGACACTGTGAGAAAGGAAGAAATCTAGCTCCCAACCAGGAAGCAATGCAGCGCCCTCAAAGTGATACTGAAACTGAAAACATTTATACCTGCTTCTGAGTGGCACAGTTTATAAGAGATGCACTGCACTGCTCATATCTCTGTAGCGCATCTGAGATCTCAGCTGGTAGCTCTGCGTGACGTTTGGCTGCTCTGTACACACCTACTAACATGCTACGTTGCATTCCTGAGTTAAATGGGCTGCAAGTTAAATCAGCACAGAGTACTGCAGGATGCTATGTGTAGATGTGTAGTTTAGCCTGAAAAGCTCATATTTGCTTGGATTAAGCCTTTTTTTAATGAAATACTGTTTAGGTTTGTATCATGCGTACTGAAAGACTATGTCTACAGGGTTTTTTTTAGCAGTGGTTTGAGTCAGTGTATCCTATCCCTATCCTCTGTTTTGATCTCCCTGGACAAATAGGTGAGATTAATGTATTGTCATCAGTTTCACTACAACAACTTAGAGTCCTCTGCAGTTTGATTGATGTGGTAAAAATAGTCTCTTTCTGCTGCTGTTCTCAAAAACAGTGTGTTCTATCTGAGATATTTGAAGATGTTTGTAGGGAAGAGGAGGATAGCCAGAAATGTCAGGACAGGAAGTTCTGATATCTACTCTGCTGGAGTCATGGTTGCTTATAGACATACCCAGGCTTAGAAACAGGATGGCCTTGGAAACCATCAGCCTGAGAAAGTGATAAAACAAGGACGCAAGCTCCATGCTCTTGCAGCTGTTTATGAGTAATATTTAAGGTAACAGCATGATGTTGGTGTCTGTGAGATTGTGGCCATCCCTGACTTCAGGCAACTTCTCCTGGAGGATGCGATAACATTCATGGAAAAAAAATAATTAAATAAAAAAGCAGTACCTGCTTTGAATATAATAGCTACTATTTTAAATATTCTTCATAGTCTAAGAGGAATAAAATCTCTCTGTTAACCTGACCACCATAATGCAGGCTGGATTGGATGTCTGTGCTTTCTGTTGGACACTGTGCCCGCTTTAGCAAAGAACTCACTGAGGCAAGAAAGAGCAAAGGGGGAGAAGAGTTATCTGTATATCTCCCCCAAACATCCCAGGACTCAAATCTTTGGTTTTGTGTTTGTGAGCCCTTTGGTTAAAGGCATTGGGAGCAGAGGCTAGAGTACAGATGTGCTTTTTGGGGAAGTGCCCTGATAATTAGTCAATAGGGTGAAGTTACAGGTTTGGGGAGGGCACAGGAGTGGGGTGCATACTGGTTTCTGGCACTAAGAGAAGTTGAACAGGAAGGTTTGAGGGTACTTCCTGTGAGGTTGAAGATGTGGCTTTGAACCTTTGAGGTGTATGGGTTTTAGCCAGTCCTCTTACATGAAAGGTTAGCGTTCTTGCTCTGGAGCTATTGAAGGTGCCTGGTTGTCTACTTCTGTTTTTGAATTAATTTTCCTTTCAAAGGATGTTGAAATACAAATGTTTGCTCAGCACTCTTAGAAACTGCTGCTTGGTCCAGGCTGAAATATTCTGTGAATCTTAGTTGAATTTACATGCTCAGCTGTGCCAGGACTGTCATAGTCCTGTGGTGCACAGAAGCAAAGATTTATATGCCGTGGCCACCATATCCCTTGAAACTTGCTAAAAGTTCATGGCTGACCTATGCTTATCTGAAGCTGTTTTGAACTTTCTGTAGGTCTGGTCGATGGAAGAAAGACCATGAACATGAGTGGCATAGTTTCTGGATCAGACTTGCCTTTGAGTATTTAAAAAGAGCAACCTTCCTATTCCAGTAGCCAAAGTGGTTCCAGTTGGACACCTGACATGCATCCTGAAATAGACATTAGATTTTTAATTATGCCATGAAGGAGTAATTCAGATAAACTAGAATAATAAGTACAAGAGAACCAGAAGATATTTCTTTACTTTTGGGTAGGTGAAATTAGAAGCACAAATGTTATGTTCCTAAGTGAAAAGTATGGTAATTGGGAAGGGGGTAAGGAATAGAACTCTAGGAGAGGAAAGATGGCAAACTTACTCTTGCTCTCTCTCCTGTGAGATCTGTTTCCTGCCCATTTCCAAGTTCAATTTGCAATGCATTCCACAGCAGGCTTTATAAATGTAAATTGGGTTTTGTAAATCTATTCAATTGATTGAAATATTTTAATAATAGTGTTTTCATGCAAAAAGCTTCTTTTAAACAACTCTTCCCATGGAGTGCTTTACAGTATACAAATGCAGAATAAAAAATTGGGCAAACCAGTATTTTAGTTTTTATGAGCATGGGAAAATTTTAAAAAAGTATATGGGAAAAGTGAGGTGCAACATGTTTTAAAATAATTAAACTGTGTTCATGTAGAAAATATGCTAGTCAAATATATTTCAGATGGCATAGTATCAGTTGGTACAGAACTGAAGTCTACTGCTGTAAGAAGGAATATACTTTTGTATAGGACATTACAGTAAGTAAAAAAAATGTGTACCAGAATAGCTAAGTTCTTTACTAGTGAAGAACACTGGTGGCTTTTTTTTTTAAGAAGCTCAAATTAGTTCTGTTTCTTACTAAGTGTTATTTTTTGTTTCACTAACTAGGTCCTCACCTGTTTAAAAATACATTCTGAGGAATGTGTGAGCATTTTTTTCCTGTTTTGTCACCTTTCCTGATACTGAAATGATAAACAATAATCCATGATTTTACTTGGCTGTGTCCTTAAATACCACAAGTTTTGAAAGAAAACATGGTCTAAATGTTGTGACTGTAATGGTGACCTGAATTCACCATGACATTTGTACATCTTAGAGACTTTAGTCATAAAACTAAATGTCTTGGATTTTGTTTTCACTCTCTGTCTGTGGAATGTCTTTCTTGCTTCATTTTTCCCTCCCACAAGATCATACTTGTCCCAAAATAAAACCTTAGTATTGTTGTAGCTGATGTTCTAGGGAGAAAATGGCCAGGTGTGACTCAGCTTTCCTCTCTTGCTTTTCCTGTTATCCTCTGCTGAGGTGAATCTCAATGGCATAATGTTTATCGTGGAGTAGGCAGCAACAGGTTCTTTCCCACAAGGTTCTTGTTCTCATTACGGTGGAAAAAATGGATTGAAACAAAGACTCTTATCTTTCAGAAAGGTCAGAAAAGTGAGAGTATATGGAAGAATATAGTCTGAACATACGAACACTGAAAGTTCACATTTCTGCTTTTTTCTCTGTGGTGTTTAAATTTACTGTTGAGGTAAACAGCTAGTGTTTGTCTGTCATCTGTTTCTTCTGCCTTAATCTTATTTAGATGTCTAACTGACAGCAGAAAGAAACTCAGAATTCTTTCTCTGGTGTTGTGAAATTGATGGTATGTTACAGAGTGGACTTTGACACTCAAATATACTTCTTGAAGATAAATAATTTATGATGTCCTATAAATAGCTCAGAGATGCCCAAAAGTGCCTGTTACAATGCAAACAATCAATCTGTAAATCAACTAGTGCTAATATTTCAGAAATAAGAAGCATGCAGACATCCAATAAAATCAAAAGCATGTAACATCACACCTTCCCTCTGCCAGGTTTCTGCTTAAATAAAACTAAAGTTTCAGGTGAAGATACTGTTGAAAAATTCTTCCATCAGAAGTGTTGTGTGTCAGCCCAAATTGGGGAGAGGAAAAAAAAAAGAGGAGAAATATAGATTTGATTTGGTTTTGTTTGTTTGTGGTTTTGTTTGTTTGTTTTGTGGTGGTTTTTTTTAATTTCCCCTTTTTCAAAGGGAGGAAATAGGAGCTTAAAGTACAGCATGTACATGCAGATCAAGGGAGGTGATTCTGTCCCTCTGCTCTGGTGAGACTTCACCTGGAGTACTGTGTCCAGCTTTGGAGTCCCCAACACAAAAAGGACATTGGAGTGCTGGAGCGTATTCAAAGGAAGGCCACAAAGATGATCAAAGGGCTGGAGCACCTCTCCTACAAAGACAGGCAGGGAGAGTTGGGGTTGTTCAGCCTGGAGAAGAGAAGGCTCCAGGGGGATGTTATAGCAACCTTCCAATGCCTGAAAGGTGCCTATAAGAAATCTGGGGAAGAGCTGTTCGCTGGAACATGTAGCAATAAGACGAGAGATAATGGTTTTAAACTAGAAAAGGGTAGATTTAGGTTGGATATTAGGAAAAAGCTCTTCAATGTGAGGGTGGTAGATCACTGGAACAGGTTGCCCAGAGAGGTGGTGGAGGCCCCATCTCTGGAGATACTTAAGGTGAGGCTTGATGGGGCTCTAAGCAACCTGATCTGGTAACATTGTCCCTGCTCACTGCAGGGTGGGTTGGACTAGATGATCTTCAAAGGTCCCTTCCAAGCCAATACATTCTATGATTCTATGTATGCTCTTAAGGCTTGACTCACCCTTTCTGTGTTTAGGTTATTGAGTTCACATGTCTGAACTCTTTGTAGCGGACAGGGAGAGCAGCCTTGTGGAGATGGATGTCTTGATATTTTGGCTTTTACATCGTGAAATCTTAGGGAAATGCATTCTGAGCTAAAGCGTGTTTAATACTGGTTTGGTCCACTTAAGGGTGATATGCAATATATAAATATTAGCGGAAAGAAAAGGGTGGTAGAGTGTATGTACCACTTTTGTTTGTTATGAGAGGCATAGATGTGTATACAGCAACAGAGTGAATTTTTGTGAAGTAAAAGATTGGAACTTCGTGTTTACCTTGCAAGGGCTAGTCTGGGCATAGGCTGCTCTTAACTGAATTAGTTTAGGTTAAACAATACAATTCCACTACTGTTGATAGTTATCAGTGTAAAACATCTTCAGCATTAGTTGTGCTACTTCGGAATAGCTTTACACCGTGTCTTTGACAGTGTTGGAGGTGTTTTTAGCAGCTTCAAAGATGTTGGTAAGTAAGATTTTGCTGAGTACTGTGTGTTAGTGTGCACCTGGGATATTCAGGTGATAAGGAAGAGCAGTTCTCAATGTTTACCGTTTTATTTGGGGTAAATAATATATTTCAAGGGTATTTAAATAATTTCAGTTGTGATGGTAAGACTGTAATTTGGCAAATTAAAGATTTCTTTCATGGGGGGTTTCCAGGGGATCGTGTTTGAAAAATTGTTACCTCTGAAGCAGTGAGTCATGTTTTTTTCTTCTAAGGGCTCAGAGGGATAGTGTAAAATAAATATGGTGTTTCTGTGAGCAGTTTTGCCCTGAACTCATTCATGTTCTCAGAATGTTATTTTCTTTCAGATTACTACAGATATACCATTTTAGCAAGCTGCTTTGAACTTGAAGAAAATATCTTGTTCCGTTCTGAAGAGCATTCTGGAAATGTTAAAATAGCAATCTCATTATAAGGATTAATACAAGTATTTGTTTTTATGCGGTTTAAGGGCCACAGTCTTACTGAATTCTAAATTTTGTGTTTCTACAGTTCAATTTAAGCCACTTAACTATTCTAAGTGAATACCTAAGCTCTTTCATTGAACGGCCAAAAGATGACTGAAGCAGGGAAAATAATGTTGCAACTCTAAGTCCCAGTATACTGGCATTACTCAGAATGTGCTCTCCTGGACGCATTTACATTGCAGAATATGAGTTTAACAGTTCTCTTTTTTTATCATAGCTAAACTAGATTTAAGTTTCTTTCACTCCATTACAATATAACCACTAGTTGTATTGCTAACGTGCTTGCGCTTTTGGGTTAGTAAAATAAGCTTGCCTGAGCTGCTGCTCATACTGAAGAATTTATATTAGTATCTGTACCTACTTTAAGGTAGTTTGAGAATGTTTGCATTGCAGAGTTCCTCCTCAGATGTGCGGACGTTCAAATTTTCTTTTGGTGAATTCTGACTGCTGCCCTATCCAGTCTTAAACTGGGTGTTCTGTTTCATTTGTTCGTGAAATCTTGCCACTTAGCTGCCCTGTTTCTTTCTTCGTTCCCATCCCAGCTTGAAGCAGTTGATGGCTGGTCTATTAATTGATTGACAGTAACTTTTGTGTAAATGTGCTGTCATTTTTCTCCAGGGAATCAATTGGTCTCTTTCGATACGCTTCACCTCAGACAAATTGCTAGTGTGTGTGTTTTATTTATTTATTTATAACTGAAACACATTAAAATTAATGAAGAAACCATCGTTTTCATGGGACTAAACTGCATGGTATAACGTATTTCTGTAGAATACCAATGGCGATGGAATGTTAGACTTGTCTGTTGGGTTTAGCAATTTATTTATTTTTTTACTAGGATATTTTTGACTTCCTTAAAGGAGTGATTCTGAGCTAGTTTTTCATGAAAGGTCACATGTCTGGTATTTGTTAATTTTATTCTCCCACGCAATTTGCAAGAATTCAGGTGTAATGATTTTTTTTTTCAAATTGGAGTTCTTGGGAAAAGCGACTCAAGGCAGAGCAGTTATATCATATAAACTATTATTAGCAGCTGCATCCTGCAACTTAGATACACATTTGTTTTTCTTGTGTATGCTTGGCATGGTGTTATGCATACTTTTAAAAAGCACTAAAGCTATCAATGTAATACATTATTTTGCCTGGAAAATGTGACTATAATCTCTGACATCGTCTAATACACGAGGAAAGCATGTGGAGCTGGCAAGGTTTGGGGTTATTTTATTGCATGATTCTTACAAAAGAAGTAATGGTTTGTTAGCAAAATCATATAAGGTGACCATATAAAGTGCTTGCTATGAAGTATTTTTTGAGTTTTGTTACGGTTCTTCATTAAATTATAGCATCTTACACAGCATTCTTGGCATTTGCGTAAGTATTCTGTTTGTTTTGAGGAATATGGAGACTCCGAGCAATCTGAAATATTTATGGTAATGATACTGTCATTATTGTCGAAGATGCAGGGAACTCTCTGGATTAAAGCAAAATGTCTGGTTAGTATTGCTTTTTATGCCTCTCAGGTATTGCTCCAGTCAGTAAACTAAATGTTCCAGAATTGTTTAGGTAGATGTTAAAGAGAGCTTTACCTCCATAGACTCTTCAGAAACAGGCTAAACCGGGTGTAAGATTACTTTGCTGATCTACTAATTAGGATGCACTGTAATAACTATATGGATGGCAAATATGAATAATAAGAGGATAGGAACTGGCTGTGTTTATGCTGGGTGCTATAATAGCAGACTCCTCTAGCCACCTGCCCCAAAACTGATGAGAGACTTCTAACCTCCAACCTCTTATCCTCAGCTTGATATTGGCTTTCACAGCTCCTTGGTTGCAGGAGATAATAGCCTGTATAGTTTTAACTTGCATGGCCTGCCCAAAATAACTTCAGAGCACGCATTGTAAAATTTTAGTTTGTTTTCAGGAAGATTAGTGGGTAACTCCTTGTCTGTTGTCCCTGGAGAACAGAGAGTGAGGACAGCTGCTGGTTGGTCTGTTTCTAAACTGGGTTTCTTGTCCCCTCTTTCATCAAAATGTTTCAGGTTGCGTCTCGGTTTGCTGAATTTGTGTTCTGGGAACACTAAACTCTCCCTGACTTATGTGACTTTTGGAGACCTATGAAGATTTTTGCAGTATTTCATCATTTAACCTATCCAGTTGTCACACTCAAAAGTGGTGGATGTAGAAGTTACACTGAATTAACATTGTTCTTCCTCCTTTTTTAGTGACCAACATAGTTCAGTCCACTTAAAAGAAATTCTAATTAGCAACAATATAAGAGAAATTGCTCATTTGTTAATATCTTTTGAAATAATGTAATTTAGAAATATTTATAAATCTATTATATTTTAAAAGTTGACCAGTATTGCAACTTAATTGAAATTACTGTATTTAAAAGCTTTCTGCATCTCTTCTAGTAATGTAACAGTGAATAGCAGTGATTCCTTGGATCAGTTAATGGAAAATTTTCCATTATTAAAGTTTGCTTTGTTACTTTTTTTTTTCCTGCTAGAAAAGGCAGCTGGGAAGAAGCTGTGAGAAATACAGCGTGTCTTACAGTCCAGAACCATTAGAAGGAAAGCAAGTAACTGAGAAGGGATTTGGAAAAAATGAACTAATTCCAAAGTTAATGCAAAATATTTTAAAAGACATCGGAATACATATCTCCTGGGGGAAAAAAGAGGGGATTTTTAAGTTAGTTTTTGGGATTTCATCCTTTATCAGTTGAAAAGTGGAAATAAATTGGGGCATATACATTCCTGATGTTGTAAAGCATATGAAAGCTATCCCTTTTAACTCTTTAATAAAAGAAACTGTGTCCTTTGTTCTAAATGTCTAAGTGAAGTGAGTTTCTAGAATTATCTCAACTCTTTATCTGCAACTCTGACTTACTGTAAGCTAAAAGATTTATTTTGGTGGCAATGGGGGATGATTTTATTTCTGTCTCTGTTGTTGGATAGGCCTACATTTTTCAGTGTTCCTACTGCACTGTCAGTTGTGGGATAGGCAGAGTACAGCCTTGTTGGCTTGATTTGGGGTAATTCTGGGAAAACAGTGCTCTGGAATTCTGCGACAGGACAATTTGAGTGGGTCATGTGCGTTTTGTGAAACAACAGTATTTGACATCTGAAATCTAAAGGATATTTTGAAATTATGCCTTTCCCTCTTCAGCTCCCCCCAAAAAAAATAAAAAAGCGTAACATGATTTAATTTTGTGAGCAGAAGTTGAGCATAAGATGTGGCGAGGGTGTAATTCCATAAAAATGCAGCCTGACGGATATCAGAGGCAGATTGAGAAATAGAATCTCGAAATCTTGTTTAGCAAGGATTTTTAATATTCTTTTAACATGAAATATGTATGAATTGCACTATGCTGCAGGTGATATTACTTATCAGTGAATTCTTTTTGTGTTGTGAAGATCATGCAATACCTGCGAATAGTAAATAGAGAGGCAACATTGTGAAGTAGGAAACCTGGAAGACAACTGGCTTTGTGGCTAATCAGCTAATCTCTCAGCAATCTTTATTTTTTTCTGGCTGGTCTGCAGGTAAACCCATCAAATTTAGAGCTAAAGCAAAAGTTGGTTGCATAGTTATTTATTGTGTAGCTCAGAGTATACCAGTTTAACAATGCTTTTAAGAGCTTCCCAAGAGTGTACTTTGGTGAAAGCTTGCAATGTAAATTATTTTGTCTTTGAATCTTAATCTGAAATGTTTTAATTGCAAGTGAAATGCCTTGGCACTATGTATTTGGAGACAAGGGTTCACACCTTGTGTTAATTCTAAATATTCTTTTTGAATATTACCTACTTTTGCATGGTTGCTATTTGTATTTTAATAAAAAAGGTTCTTAGTGAAAAGGGTGCTACCAAAGTGGACGAGTTGTCAGAGAAGGCTGACAGGTGGTAATGGAGGTGAATGAACAGGTGAGGCTTTGCCTTTGGTTCAAAATGTTGGAATTCCTGATTTGAACTTATATTGAAAAAAGAGTGGGATAAGGGGAACTTAATGTTGTTTTGAGACACTCTACCATTTTGTTTAAGTGGGTTTGTGTTTCCTTGATACTGTTTCTTTTCAGAGCAAAACAAGCAGAAGAGAGTGTAACTCTGGCTAGGAGCAGACTTGGGTATTGTAAATGATTGTATGTGAAGAAACAAACATTACAAGTCCTTGATTTGATAGCTTAATCTGAAACTGTACTTGTTGCTAATTAATACTGTGTGTCATGTCAGCAACTTCCTGTGGAAATAAGCCAGCTGTGGATTCACTGATACTCTAAAGCTGGGCACTCATGCAGGAAGTATTGCCAGTTTTGCATTAAGTAGGGTTCTTGAAGTAAAACTAAACAATGTTTGTAGGAAGGTGGAAAAAAACCCAAACCTAACAACCTAGAATTGCTAGGACGCTTGGAGGAGGAGGAGAGCAGAAAGAAGGCAAAAAGCAGTACTGTTTGATTGCTTTGCTTTGGAGATGCTTCCATAGCATAGTTGGTTT